TAGGATTACTCTCACCCCGCCCGAATGTTGAGTGAATGTTGCGTTTTTATGGTTAATTTTCTTTTAATCACGGTTCTTTTCTTTTTAAGTCTCGTCTTGCACTCCCTTCCCTTCACTGTTGTGAGCCGCCCTGAGTCCCCTCAGGGAAAAGGGCGGCATATAAATTCCCAATAAATTAAAAAATAAGGATCTATCCAGAATAAGTACTTGAATGTTTCCATTATGAGGAGTCCTTGGTGCTCTCCAAACTTTATTGTTTTCTTGCAGATGTTTCATTACTAATGATGTTACCTGGTTTGGGTAATGAAATTAATTTTAGGATTTTATTGGGAATTTATATGCCGCCCTTTTCCCTGAGGGGACTCAGGGCGGCTCACAACAGTGAAGGGAAGGGAGTGCAAGACGAGACTTAAAAAGAAAAGAACCGTGATTAAAAGAAAATTAACCATAAAAACACAACATTCACTCAACATTCGGGCGGGGTGAGAGTAATCCTATTCTTCGAGGCGTTGACCACTCTGTTGCTGAAGTCATATTTTCTGCAATCAAGTTTGGAGCACTATTGCCTTGAGTTTGTATCTATTGTTTGCCCGAGTATTATTGAGGTTGAAGATGTAGTAGCAGACAATTTGAACTTATCTGCTACAACTTATCTAATGTGAACTTATCTAATGTTGCACTAGAACCTAGATTAACTCCACTTGTTTTATACATACCTATACACACCTCGATACATAATATGCTTCATGGAATTACCAATGTTATTAGAATGATTTTTACTGAAATATTTGCATAAATTTCAGGGAACTATGAACTTAGGATGGTCTGGTGTAAACTTTGTGACAGAATTCTACCAAACTTTTTCCGCCTGCTCTAACATGTTTCAGTTAGTGGTCAGGAAGTGTAATAATCACTCAACACTATTTCATCCACAGGCTCTTAGTTGCTGTTTTCTTACAAAAACCTGTTGACATAAAACATGGAAATAGCAATGCCTATTGTGTTTATCAGAGAAAATATAAATGTTAATCTAAATATATAAATGTTAACCTAAACATTAAAGAGTTGGCATTTAGGCCAATATTCACAGCTGATCCATGATCATACAGTCAATGAAATTAATCAATAAATAATTAAAGTATATGTTATCTATTTGACACATTACCTTATACTATTACCTTATACATTTACCTGTATATGTATATACACGTATATGTGTATATACTTGTGTGTGTGTGTGTGTGTGTGTATACACAAACACACACCTTTAAAAGGTATTTTATTTATTGACAGCAAAACTCATGGACTCTATTATATACCTTTTGCTATGCCTTTTTTGCTATTATATCCAAACTATTAACCGAATATTGGAAGAAAACAAAATTGTTTAGTACCATGAAATAAATATAGAAGTTGGTTATGTAATAGATTTATTTACTCAACTTTATAGACATTGGAAGGAAAATAGCAGAAAAATATGTCATGCTATGTAGATGATCTCCTACATAATATATATGCTCTTTTAAAAAAAGGGGGAAGTAAGAAGCCTTATGTGAAAAAGGCTGTTAATTTTCTAAACTACAAACATTTTGATTCAGGGATTGGGTTACACAACTTTCTTTCCACAATAACAAAGAGATACATTTTTGAACTTTTGTGACATACATTTCTGGAGGGGATCAGAGAAAAGCAATGAAGGAGGCACTAATTATTCAGGATGCATGAAGACTGCAGGAACTGCTATCACTAAGTTACACTGTCATGTGACATCATATGATTAACCTGCTTAGTACAGAAACTCCAGGCCCTAATGCCATTTTAAACTACTTTTAGTCCTAATGAAATATTCTCAATATTCACACATAATTTTCTGCTTTACAAACTTTTGCTGAAATTTCCTCTTTTCAGATTGAATTAAATACAGCCATTAAGTTATGTGATTCATTTTAAATTACTTCAGGTGCTTCACAGAAGAAAAATGATGTTTACATTTATTTGATATGCATTTGTTACTCATTTTTATAGTATATCCAGATGGTAGTATTCACATTTTCCCAGCATTCAAGCAACAATGTTTTGTTGTCCAGAAAAGGTCTTTTTTTTCTATGCTAGTTCTGTTACTTTAGTGCAATACCCCTTTCTACTAATATAAAACATTCCAAGCATAAATAAAAGCAATAAATCCACTTTTCTGCTACTTTGTTTCGGTAAAAAATGTTTACAAGGAGTTGATCACCCTCTTAATGCTCAAGTGGCAGATGGAAGCACTCAAGAAATTCTTTCAAACTGAAATTCTTTCAACTGATGCACAAACTTCTTTCAACTTCTGCATTGCTCATATCCCATCCCATCAAGAAATGGTATATTTTCAAAACAGGTTGAATTTTTATCTGTTTGTTATTGTGGAAAGGAAGTTGTATACAAATAGTCCTCAAATTACAACCACAATTGGGATTGAAATAAATTTAGGATTGCACCCAATGTTACGTTTTTTGCCATGATGGTTAAGTGAATCACCAGGTCATTCAGCAAATCATAAAATAATTATATTCTGGTTTCCAAGAGCCTAAATTGCAATCACATGACTGTGACAGTTGTTAAAATGAGAACTGGTCATAAATCACTTTTTTCAGCACCATCGTGACTCAGAATAGCTGCTAAACATATGGACATAACTCGAAGACTACCTGTAACCTAATATTGTTCCAGCAATATAAAAACAGTAGCTTTGCAAAAACCTTGTTTTCTTTTTACTACACTGCTTTGCAAGTTGTAATTCTTCTCTCTTTCTTTTCCCCTTGATTTTTTAAAGATATCAATGGAAGTAATTTCTGCCTAAGATCAGAATTACCCATCAATTATTTAGAGATAAGCTATTATATTTCTGGCAGATAATCAAATGCTTAACACAATAAATGTACAAATAATTTGGATATAGGCATACAGATAAAATCAGTGTTCTTAGAATCAGCTTGAATGAGCCTACTAAACACTATTGAATGTTTTAAGTATGTAAACATGATATTTTTTTCTCTTGAATACATTCTTATGGATGATTATTGTTGTTGTTGTTACATTTTTTCCCAAATGAAATGCCAATATTCACAACATATCTTTTTACTTCAGATAAGCTCTTTCATATTTTCTATCTTATGTGATTCAAGTCACATGGCAATTTCAAATATAGAAACATTTCAAATCAAGTTAATCCCATCTTAATTGTCAATCATGATAACTATGTGATCCTTTATTTATACTTTAGAACTTCCGCCTTTCTTTTGAAGCCGTGTTCTTGTTGGTTCAGTCATTACCAGTGGTTCTTGAACAACACTTGCCGAGTACTTTTTGCCTAGCAACTCAACTTCCAGCTTCTGTCCAACTTTACTGAGTTCCACAGGAACATATGCAAAAGCCAGACTTTGCTGAATACTATAGCTGTAACATCCAGATGTGGTGTTGCCAATAACCTGAAAAATTAAAATTTATCACTTACAGATTTATAGTATAAAATGCACAGTTGATGCAATTTGTGTTTCTAAATATTTAACTTCTAACATGTGTAGTAATACAATAAAATCAAATATGTAATTGTATTAGTTTAAACAGTGGCAAAATATTGGGATTATAGATACTTAAAGGTAAGGTAAAGGTTCCCTTCGCACATATGTGCTAGTCATTCCTGACTCTAGGGGGCGGTGCTCATCTCCATTTCAAAGCCAAAGAGCCATCTCTGTGGTCATGTGGCCGGCATGACTAAATGCCAAAGGCGCACGGAACGCTGTTACCTTCCTCTCTATGTTGGTTCCTATTTTTTCTATTTGTATTTTACATGCTTTCAAACTGCTAGGTTGGCAGAAGCTGGGACAAGTAATGGTTGCTCACTCCATTACGCGGCGCTAGGCATTCCAACCACCAAACTGCCAACCTTTCTGATTGACAAGCTCAATGTCTTAGCCACTGACCAACCACGTCCCTTTATAGATGCTTAGATGATATAATTTTGTTTCATTGGGCCATCTTTGTCCAACAGGGAAAAATATTGCAGGTTAATTCCTATGCTTGACAAAAAATCTACTAGAGACTAAATATTGTTTGACTTCTGTAAATGCTTTGATCCCAACTCAAGTGGGAGGGGTCAGACTGAGGAATGCTGATTTATAGCAAGTACATGCACTGACCTTCTACTTTCTGAAAGGCACATTAACTTTTGCAACTAAATCTATTGAAAATAATAGCCATTTTAAAATTGAAGTATATACAAAGGAGATTCCAGAAAAAAAAGTTTTTCAATTATTTGAACTGAAATCTGCTTGCCTTGTTATTATACCAGACACTTTCATTTCCTTCAGGATCAACATCATCTGTTTTCAAGATGAGACACACAAGTTTTCGTTCAAGCCCCTTTTCTTTAATCTGTTTCAATGCATTCTTTCCTATGAAGTCTGTTGGCTGGGGGGAAAAGATAGTAAGTGATTAGTAGATTCTGACAAGGTGCAGGTTTTTGAGAAATTAACTGGAAATTTTTAGTCGGGTTTCAGGTCTGGACATAATGTGGAAGACAGCATTGGTGGTGCTTGTTTGCAGAGCCAGGATGGTTGGGGGATGTCCAATGCCTAGAGGCTGTTGGGGTTTTGATGGAGAAGAACATGCTTAGGCTGAAGCACAGCAAAATTGAATGGCTGTTGGTGATGGGCCGCCTGGTGCTAGGAACTTCCCATCTTTGAACTAAACAGACTAAACCACATCTTATTTGAAACTGCGTCTTGTGTCTTACTAGACCAGTGATGGTGAATCTATGGCATGTGTGGCAGAGGTGGCATGAAGAGCCCTCCCACATGACACACCCGCCATCATATCAGGTCACATCTCCGTAGCGTTTCTTTCATGTTTCTGTTTCCCTGCAAACCACGAAACAAGTTCACGAAAGAAAAAGATCTGACTTCTTGCCACATTGCCGGTGTTGGGATGTCCCACCTCCTGCCGGCCAGCTGGTGCCTCTGCTGCACATCTTTGCGTGCATGTCCACAAATGTGCATGTGTACATGCATGTCCACACATGTGCACACATCCACACATGCATGCACACACCTTTCAGTTTGGTCATGCGTGCGCATACAGTTTGGGCACTTAGTGTCTAAAAGTTTTGCTATCACTGTCCTACACACTCAGCTCCTTTTTAAGAAGCAGGTAGCAAGCTGTGGGTCAGAAGGCCATAAAGAGGAATCAATAGTTCTATCACACATAAGCCTGTCTACAGTTGGAAGCCTGATTGCTAAGTGAAACTTGGATGCTTCTGAATAGTTACTGGAACACAGAGGAATTGGAAGGCTTCCCAGAAGCATTTAATTAGTTTCTTATCCATTATACTTTTGATGGAATAGTGAGTTCAACAGGAATAATTTTATCAAGAAATGGCACTTTCACTAGTTACTGGAATAGAATGGAGATGGATGTCTATGCTCCTGCCTCTAGAATTGCAATTTGCATTTCAAACAAGGGCCTGTGCCAGATTGAAGCAATTATAAATTCAACATAGTAAAGAAAACCTTGTAGCAGTTCCACAGACTAAGCAACATATTCATACCAGCAGCTTTTCAATCAGTCTTTTTTTTCAATTGAAAAAAATATATGTTGTACCTCCTCAGCAAGGGAGTAAAAAGGGAGGAAGAAAACCTGTCAATGACTCCTTTTCCTTTCCATAGGAACAATAGCAGTTAGACTTATATACCGCTTCATAGGGCTTTCAGCCCTCTCTAAGCGGTTTACAGAGTCAGCATATCGCCCCCACAGTCTGGGTCCTCATTTCACCCACCTCGGAAGGATGGAAGGCTGAGTCAACCTTGAGCCGGCGAGATTAGAACCGCTGAACTGCAGATAACAGTCAGCTGAAGTGGCTGCAGTACTGCACTCTACCCACTGCACTCTACCCACTGCA